AGCCCAGCTGAGCCTTTGGAGAGCGACCCGGAGCGCAGAGAGACGGGATCCCACCTGCACACCCACACCAGCCAGCCCTGCTCCTGCTGCTCTCTGCTCGCCGGCTCCTAACACCCGGGTGGGCACGTCAGCCCTCAGCAGCCCCCCCGAGACCCACAGCAGCCGCTCCGCGTGGGGGCTCAGGAGAGCTGGGCAGCAGCTCGCACCGCGGCGGGCAGGGACACGCGTCCACGCTGGGGGATGCATGGCCGGGACTGCACGCTGAGAGCACCACCGATATTCCTGACGTATTAGAAAGAAAATCTTTAAAAAAGATTCTTCTTTCAGCACAACTCAGCACCATTTGCAATCTCTGTGTTTTGCCTATTTCGCTTCCTCTTTCTCTAGATTTCTCAGCACATCAGAGATAACGTTTGGTGTGATCTTCCTCCCTGATAAACTTCACTTTGCAGTTCGAAAAAGATTTCTGGGGACAGTGACCACCGTCAACAACTCCTGACCCAGTAATTGCATCGCACATTTATTTCTCAAGCAGCTGTGTTAACGTCCATAAATAGATAAAACATGCTCTCAGTACTACAGATCCTTCGTTAGAGTAAAAAAACCAAACAAACTTGTAAATATTATTCTTACGTTCAGTAAAGCAGCCATGAATTCTGAGCCAGAAGTCAAGAAAAATGCCTCAATGATATTGGAAGGGTTACAAACAATAGCATAAGAGTTTGAGTGCAGAAGGAACCGAGCATTTTTAATTATTTATGTAACTTCCCTTTCGTGTATTTTGCCAACAGAGCCAGATTTGCAAACTGAGGAAGCGACTAGGTGACAAAAAGAGCAGATAAAATTGACCACGAGCACCAATGACATGACACATAAGCTCTCCCAGCCTTTCCCATGCGGGGACGGGCTCCAGGTTGAACACGGCTGCCCTCTGTCACCAGCCGCCGCTGAGGCCGTGCTGGAAGCCCCAAGAGCTGTCGCAGCACCGACCACAGACGGTCTGGACAGGCTGCACTGCGGGACCCCCCAGCACCGCGGGATTTCCCTGTGCTGGGACACAGGGCTCTAACTGTACTCTCCTGTCTCTCACAAGGTCTCCCGGCAAGGGCAGAGACCCCGTGCCTGAGGATGGAAGGCGCTCTGGACCCCTGACACAAACCCCCCGGCAGCCAAACCCAGAAAGGTAAAGGCGAGCCACTGACACCACGAGGCCAGCTGGGACTTTGCCCGTGGGAAGAGAACGGTTCCAAACACAGCGTGTTACCATCTCAAATAAAAACACCGACCGGTACTGGAGCGTTCCACCTGTCTGAGTGGATGGCTGAAGGATAAAAGCAGAGATCCTTCCAGTCTTAGCAGTGTCACCCAAACCCTACCCACCGCCACCTCCCAGTCCCAACGGCCCTATTCCCATGGCAGCTACAGCGTGACACCCGCTCTCCACGCCGCCTTCTTCTGTTAAAAGCACAACCAAACAAAACCAAATGCCTTCATGGCTAGAGCTTAAACGAAGGTGGGATGGAAGGACTTCCTATGGGAGAAGTGCCAGGAGAAGACTAACTGCAGGCTTTGGTGTGAGCACTGGTACCACGTGTTCCATTGCTCCATCTATCCATGCAGGTTCCAGAGCGTCACCTGAGCTGGGCAGCCCTGACAATGTCTGCAAAAGGGATACAGAACACAGTATACCAAAGGAAACAATTTTACTTATTTACCTATTTAAAAGAAAATGCCTCTGTACAAAACAGAAACCTTTGTACAAGGGATATTCATATCCCTCACACGCTTCCCGGTAAACCTAAAAATACACACTGGCCCTTAAGGGTTAATGAGATGTGTTCAGAGTCACAAGAAGCCCTGTGGCTCAGCCCCCTCCTCATTCACAATGCACAGGCCCACACCTGCAGAAGAGGGGAGCACGGCTGGGAGACAAGGGGTTACAGGCACACGGAGAAGCGAACGGATTCTCTGTGGGAACAGCAGCAGTGCCCAGGGCACCCCCTGGGAAACACCCACGTGCATCCCTGCTGGACAGGACAGCACGGTGATTGCTGAGAATTCTGCCCGGTTACTCTGAAGGAAGAGTAGAACTCTTATGCTAATTAATGGAAAGCATAGCATCACTTTATCTTACCGAGATAACCTTTCTCTGCTTCTAGGAACAAAGATACTGGAAGATGCTCAACTCCAGCACGAACTCCTCGGACAACAGCTGCGGCCGCAGCACAGCGATAACCAAGACAGTCATTCCGCTGGTCTACTGTTTGATCTTCGTGGTGGGGCTCCTGCTGCACAGCGTGGCACTAAACAGCGTGGCAGCGTGGATCTTCCTGCACGTTTCCAGCCAGAAGAGTTTCATTGTCTATCTCAAAAACATCGTTGTTGCCGATCTCCTGATGAGCTTCACATTTCCTTTCAAAATTCTGGCCGACTCAGAAATTGCACCTCCGCAGCTCAACACGTTTGTGTGCAGATACTCTGCCGTTGTTTTCTACACAAACATGTACATTGGGATAACGTTTTTTGGCCTCATAGGTTTTGACAGATACTACAAAATCGTAAAGCCTTTATTCACCTCCTTTGTGCACTCCGTTAACTACAGCAAGGTGGTCTCTATCATCATATGGTTACTGCTAATGCTTATATCGTTTCCAAATATGATTTTAACCAGTGAAATCTCTAAAGAAAATTATTCCAGAAAATGTATAGGTCTTAAAAGTGAGCTTGGCAGGCAGTGGCACAAGGCATCAAGTTATATTTGCACAGGGATCTTCTGGGTTGTTTTTCTTCTGCTAGTAATTTTTTACACTTCTATATCAAAAAAAATATATAGCTCTTATAAAAAATTCAGAAGGAACTCGGACGTGACCAAGAGAAAAACCAGCCGTAACATATTCAGTATCATGTTTGTATTTGTCGTTTGCTTCGTACCCTACCACCTCTGCAGAATACCGTACACCCTGAGCCAAACCAGCTCACAGTTCACCTGCCAGTCGAAAAGAACTCTGTTCTACGCAAAGGAGTTCACCCTCGTACTGTCTGCCGCAAATGTGTGCCTGGATCCCATCATTTATTTTTTCCTCTGCCTACCCTTCAAAGAAAAGCTGCATCAAAAACTGCATCTCAAGCTGAAAACTTCCAGCGAGGCTGAGATTTCTAAATCCAGAAGATCAAATACACTCGGGAAAGTATCAACATAGTGTGGGTTCGACTCTGTAAAACAATGGACCCTTCAGAAAATTACTCCAGAATGCAAATGTCTGAAAGCAACGGAGCAGATGAGAACCAGCAATACAACGGAAAAAAGTCTGAGCATAAAATACCGCGTGGCATTTCTCTGCATAAAGACTTTATTGCATATATATATAGATTTACTTCATGCTACTTCAGCGGATGCTACGATTGCATTACGGTGTGATACAGCCTGCCTGGATCTCACAAAAAGAGAGAGGAATAACTGGAACAACACACGCTGGAGCTCCAGGCCACGGCTCTCTGAAAGTATTATCAGACAGACCCAGCAATCAAACTGACTTGTTGCTGCTTCTCACAAATGCACGGGAGGATCAAACAACGAGCCTGAGGGGCCTGGGAACAACCGACCGCTGCCCCTCGGCCAGAGCAGGGACCCCCCTCGGCCGGAGCAGGGACCCCCCCTGGGCAGCACCACGAGGCAGCTCAGCCCAAGGCTCGGACCCGACCTCCACCAGCCCCCCGAAGAGCACCGAGACCCCAGGGGAAGCGCTCTCGTGGATTCACCAGCTCCCAGAGCCAAGCGCGGACGGCGACGCGCAGCTGGAGGAAGGACTCTGTCCCAACAACTGGGGAGAAAAGATGTGGGAAAAAGAAAAAAAAGGAAAAAAATACACATCAAATCCTCAAAGATCTGCACAAAGCCTGAAAACCCCTTGGTAAAATTAAATAGATGTTGATATGCAGGTTTTCTTAGGGGAAATATTCCATAAAATTAGGACTTAAACACAACTATTTGTCACCCTTGGGTGCCAAATGTCAGCACACTTCTGCAAAATGTGACACTCAAGCAAGTGTTCAGAGAGGATCCTTCCCTAAACCAGACAGCAGAGTTACACTGAACCACATTCCCCAGGACTCTTCCGAAGCAACACGGTGCACACCAAAACCACCCATACCAAACCCACCGCGATTTCTGCGAGTCCCTCGCTGCTGGTGCAGGCAGAGGTGAGAACACGCATGGAGCTGTTTGACCACATGCACGGAGCTGTTTGTTTGACAACACGCATGGAGCTGTTTGACAACACTCACCTACAGCTGCCTGGAAACTGGGGTACACTGAAAGCCAGAAGGAATGATTTGCTGGTTTTCCCAAGCCTCGGGCACAATGATAAAACATTTCTCTCTGTACAAAGGTACCAGCTGAAAGCCACCAACCTTATACGTATAATGCCTTTGTAAACTGTATTTTTCATTGCAGCCTTTTGATTCATCGATTGATTTTATCCTGGCCCAGGGAAAACACGCCGGAGCATAAAATACCCACAAAAGCTTTTGGGCAATGGCTCTGGAACCTGCATGCGTTCATTGTACTTAAAGATGATCTACGAACAGAAATAACACAGGCTTCACCTTTCTGCCACCGTGATTCATTTCAGTCCGAACAGACAATCGCTTGGGGTGAAAGACTTTAAACACACGGTCTTTGGGCCTTCTCCAAGGCTGGGGGCGACTCCTCGGTCTGAGACCACCGGCGTGCAGCGACAGTGTTCTCCATCGCACGGATTCTACTCCAGCTCAAGGACCGGACAGCTCTGTAACTGTCTGCTGAGTTTAAACACTCCTTCATGGAGCGTGTTTACCTCCATTTATTTCCCGCTTGTCTGAAGAGCGCTGTCCCACCCCAACCCCAAAAGCAGCCAGCGCCCGACCCCGGGAGCCAGGACTCCTCTGCCTGCAGGGGCTGGGAGCACCCTCAGCCCCAGCCAGCCCTTAGGGGCTACAGGAGAAAGCTGTGTTTCAGTTGTGTTTTTTTAAGGAAAATACATTAAAGATTATTTATATGGTTCTTTCAGAGCTCCCTGACTCTTGTCAAACTGAGACTCCGCAGGCTCTTCCCTCTGAGCAAGGGAA